TTTCATCCTACCTCTCTCTCCTGTTTTCACTATTATTCTCTCTTTCTCTCTTTCTTCCTTTCACCTTTATCCTCTCTCTTCTGTTTTCACTATTACTCTCTCTCACTCTCTCTCTCTCTCTCCTTTCACTTTTGTCCTATCCTTTTGCTTTTATCCTCTCTCTCTTTCTCTCTCTGTCTCTCTTTCACCTCTTTTCACTATTATTCTTTCTCACTCCTTCTTTCTCTTTTTCTCTCTCCCCCTCTCTTTTTCCTCTTTTCACGTTTATCCTCTTCTCTCTCTCTCCTCTTTGCTTTTATTCTCTTTCTATGCTTGTCTCTCCTTCTGAGTGGCAGTCTGGTTTGTCATGCTCATCCTCTCTCTCTCCCTCTCTCTGTCTCTCTCTCTCTGAGTGGCTGTCTGGTTCATCACTCTCTCTCTCTCTCTCTCTCTGTGAAGCTGCTGGTTACCATGGCGCTGTAACCGAGCAGCAGTGACATGGAAACCAGGAGACACCTGCTGCTTCCTCTTTATCTGAGCAGGGCAGTGTGTGTTTGTGTGCCTGTTCTCTGTTTATGGGCAGCTGCTGTGGCTTTGAACTGAGAACAATGCGGCTGTGTTGTAGGCGAAGAGGCTCCGGAAGTTTCCACTCCTGTTTCTGGGAAATGAAATCTGTTTATGAAACACCTATAAAACAATCTCTCCTGCTTCGCTTCCAATTAAAAACAAATACCCTTCGTCTAATTGCATTTAAACATTAACCAGCCTTCATTAAAGGCTTTTGCTTTGGTCTTTTATAATTTAAGGTGCACTGGAAACCCTCCGCGCATGTGGGTCTCTGTGTGTGATAAGGAACTGATACCTGTCCGTTTCTGTCAGCAGCATGATCATATTAAAGGGCCCGTATCTTACACTTTATTTGTTTTTCCTGCGGTCAGGTTATCATGTTTACATGGCTTTATGCACCAAATCATTTTACATGGCCATTTTCCAACTTAAACAGTTAAACAGCATGTTTTTGCTGTGCCTTTAACAGAATAATAAATGATATGTAAATGATCTCTGTTCTGATTTGCTGCCTTAAATACAAGCAGTCTTCCTTGACTCCTTGTAACTGTGAATATGTCGGGCTAAACTGCTTTACACTCTTAAAAAAGGTTCTGCAAGGGTTCTTTAGTAAAGAGGGTGGTTCTATATAGAACAGCGAACACTCAAAGAAACCTTTGCATGCTTAAATGGTTCTTTCCATGGTGAAATAGTTCTTCAGACTGATGGAGAATGTGTTGTATATGGTTCTATATAGAACCTTTTTGAAAATGGTTCTATATAGCACCAAAAAGGATTACAAGCTTGACATTGTGACAATAGAAGAACCATTTTTGGTGCTGTATAGAACCACACAACACATTCTCCATCATTCTAAAGAACCATTTCACCATGTAAAGAACCATTTAGTCAGGCAAATGGTTCTTTCAGCATTCACAGTGCTTTACGGAACCACTTAATTTACCAAAAAACCTTTGAAGAACCTTTTTTAGAGTGTAGAGCAGTTTAGCCCCACATATTCACAGTTAGAAGGAGTCTCTTTTTTTAAAAGTGTAAGCTTGAGCAGATGGAATATTCAAGAGAAATATACATAAGCATGTTTGTTTTTGTGACATCACAACAACGATGAGTTCAGAACAAGCTGCTTTTGCAGATTTGTTTCTGTATATGGACAGTACACGTTGAAACTTTAACAATGTTTATATACTATATCAAATCAGTTTTTGATGATATGGGCCCTTTAATAGCTGTGATATATAAATCAGGAAGTGAAAGTTCAAAAACATGCCTGAAATTTGTTGGGAAATGAAAGCATCATAACTGTAGCACAGCTGTTGTTATAAAAATATTATACGTTATTTAATCAATTTCTATACATTTATACTTATTTTAAGTAACATAATCTCACTGCACTTATAAAAATTATACTTATTTTAGTCATTATTTCTTGAAAAGAGCTGCCAGTGCAGTGAAATAATATTAAAATTAGTAAAAATGCCTAGAAATGGGTTGAAAACAGCAGTCTCATAATGAGAACTATTAAAGAAACCTATCATGCTTTTCTGTTTTTCTCTTTCCTTTAGTCTGTTGTCACTTTTTGTGGATGTAAACAGTCTTCAAAGTCCCAAAGCTCGTTGTTCCCTCCAGAGGGACAAACGCTTTCCTACAGAAACCACTTTTCCCAGCCTGAAACGCCTCATTGGAATTCCAGCCCTTTTCCTTTGTTACAAGATGACATCATCTCATAACACAGTCCTTACTGCCCGCCTACCGGCGAGCTCGGCAGGCCCTCACACAGAGCACAGTGGCTACTGGAAGAGGAAGAATGTGTTCAGTGTTGTAGCCGTGTGGAGAAGACGCTGGCCAGACTTTCAGGATCCACTCTGGATCAAACTGATACAGCAGAACTGATGCCGTTGGACAAACAGCCACAGCAGAGTTTACAGCTGCTCAGGAGAGAACCTGGAGGGGCGGAATCGCTCTGGCAGTTGACCAATCAGAACAGAGTGGGCGAGCTGACCAATCAGAGCACACTGGACTCATCGGGAGGTGGGGCTTAAAGACACAGGAGCACTAACAGAGCGTTTCAGACAGAGGGTGAATAGAGATGAACAGTATAAGGAAAATTCTAAAGCATTGAAATGTAAATCTATTCTAGTGGACCAAAAATACAATTATGAACACTGAAATAAGCAAAATAGGTCCCCTTTAAAAATATTACCTACAATTAAGATTGCCAAGATATAATATTTGGCAGTGTCCACACATAGTAGTTCACTGTCATAGAGAAAATGACTAGTAGTAATAATTTGTGTACATGTTGTTATTGTGATAAAGTGGTTAAAACTTGCTGAAGCTACGTTTTTCTCTGTTTTAGACTGACACTTAAACTTTATCAGTTTATGAATTTCTGTATTTGTTGAGGTAACATCACATTTCTTCTCAAAACTATCATAAAATAGTTCTCAGACATCAGGCAGTGAATTCATAACCATTTCATGTAGTAACTTTCTGTGAGGGAGCTTTTAGAGGTGGACGTCTGGTTTCTATCACCACCACTGTGAACAATTCTGACTTGGTAAGTTTCTTTAGTATGGAGTGTTTCACATGAATGACATTGTTCATATCCTAATTATGGAGAAATTTGAAAAATCGGTTGAATTCTCCTGTAACTGGTGCTGCAGTAAACATACAAAAGAGAAATTTGAGAAGTGGTAGCACCAGCTTGTGGAATGTGTGTGGATCATTATCTCCTTACTGAGAAAGGCTAATCTAAACACTAGGCCTCAGACTGAGGAGTAAACAGCCTCTTGCACGAATGAAGGATTGTACATGTCGTCTCAACTTTGGTATTTAAAGGGAAATTCCACAGATTTTTCCCACATTCTACATAATTACAAGGTTAAACTGGAAACAGTCATTCAGAGTGGTTTGGTGTGAAACACTCTGTTCTAGAGAAACTTATGAGTCAGATTTGTTCACAGTGGTGGTGATAGGAACCAGACGTCCACCTCTAAAAGCTCCCTCAGAAAGACAGAAAGTTATTACATGAAATAGTTATAAATACACTGCCTGATGTCTGAGACACTGTTTTATGATAGTTTTGAGAAGATTTTGGCCTTAAAATCCATTCATGGTGGAGGGATACATGTAGGCAAAATAGTCCCAAAGAAAACTTATTTCAGATTTTCCACTATTTTCCCATCATCAACATTCCATATAAAACTCAGAAGACCCGTGTAGGTTCACTGGTGGTTTTGGATAGTAAATAAAATGTCTATATTTGTGTTGTAGTCATGGCGACCCCTGGTTCCTATCACCACCACTGTAAAGAAATCTGAACCATTTTGAAAAATTGGTGGAATTCCCCTTTAAAAATGTCTTGAAAGATTGTAGATTCATCCAGCAGCTCAGTCAGGTTTAGCTTTTTCATAGAGCTGGGATGCTAAATGGTGCTCATTTGAAACAGTGGGCCTTAAATCAATGATTGTACTTTAGTTTTTCAGAATTTCAGCAAATCAAGAAATCTGCTAATGAGGTGACGCTGATCTGTGATTGACAGGTTTAATTTAAACTGACACAGTTTACGCTGACACGATGTAAACGGGTTGCCTACATTTCCCAGACCACCAGACTCAGCGCCTTCATCATCTACCCGGCATCCCTTGCATCCGTCTTTTTTTAAACGTCCCACCCGTTTTCTGGCAAACCGGCAAACCCCAGAAAACCTGCACATTTGCACCGAGTTTGGAGAGCACACTCTTAAAAAAGAGGGTTTCTTCAAGGGTTCTTCAGTAAATGCAATGGTTCTATTTAGAACCCCGAGTTCTATATAGAATCGTTTCATTCTTATATGGATCTCTGAATTGGTTCTTTAGGTTGACGGATTAATGTGCTGCACATGGTTCTATGTAGCACCAAAAAGGGTTCTGCTATTGTTACGATGTCAAGCTTGTAACAGTAGAAGACCCCTTTGTGGTGCTATGTAGAAACCAATGGTTCTATACAGAACCAAATACATTTTCCATCAATCTGAAGAACCATTTAATCATACAAATGGTTCTAGGTAGATTCCTTTTTCCCTGATAGCAAGAGAATAGTGGACCAGTGTGGGTCCACTAATGGCAAAGCTGGCGGTCCACCGGCGGTTATTAGACAAAATTCCGCTTATCATCGCTGATTTTCCACTTACAGTCCAATTTACTGATTTTTCCTAAATTTTGAATTTATAGTAATAAAATTAAAAGTTTTTAATATATCTTTTTACATATACATATTTAATTATTATATTTAAAGATAAATTTGTAAAATAAATAAATAAATAACTTAAAAAATACCCCGTTCTACATTACGTCAAAACCGTACTGCTAACCAATCATAGCGCAGGGGATGATATAGTGTCAGCCAATCACAGCACAGATGACAAGGGCGGAGCAGCCAATCACAGCGCAGGAGGGCAGGCCGTTCCGGAAAACGGGTGGAAAGGAAAATACCGCCGAGCTGCTGCTGTAGTTGGCGACGTTACATGAAGGCGCAGAGTAAACAGCTGAGGATGTGCAGTAGCGGGTCATGGCCGCGGCTTGTAGAAGGCGAGTAGCGGGTGAGCGGTGCTGTTAAAGGCCGGCCAGGCTGGTTTGTGTGCGGTTTTTTTGTCCTGCAGTGGGAGACATGGCGGATTTCTCCCCCGAGCTGCCGCTGCGCTCCGGCTCTGAGTCAGACAGCGAGCTATCGCAGAGCCTCGCCCGCATCAAGACGCGCTCTTACGGCAGCACGGCTTCCGCAGCCGCGCCGTTGGGGGAGAAGTACGTGGAGCACCGCGTGGCGGACGGGGACACCCTGCAGGGCATCGCGCTCAAATACGGGGTCACGGTAAGATACATACGGGCTCACGGGCACAGAGGACATCCTGAACGGCTGTAGCATCTCAGCTGTACATGCATGACAGGGCTGGTCACGTGTGTGTTTGCGTGCATGTGATGCCATCGTCCAAAAAAAAAAACTCCGAAAGCGCGATTTCATTCTGGGAAAACCGTGATTGCAGTCTTTTTGCAAAATCCCTGATTGCATCATGCAAAAAATCCAAAGGAAAAACTGGCATTAAAGGGGTATTCCACCGATTTTTCGAAACTTCTGCATAATCCAGTGTGTGAAATGTAAACAGTGATTTAGAGTGGTTTGGTGTGAAATGGTTTAGATTTCTGGTGATAGGAACCAGGAGTGACCATGACTCCAACACAGATATAAACAGTTTATTTATTATCCAAAACCATCAGTGAACCTACACGAGTCTTCTGAGTTTTATATGGAATGTTGATTGGGCGGGAGGTGGGGGGTTGTGGAAAATCTGATATAATAAGTTTTCTTTGGGAACTATTTTCGCCTCTCAACGCCCTGCATGTATCCCTCCGCCATTAATGGATTTTAAATTGTCAAAACTATCATAAAACAGTGTCTCAGTCATCAGGCAGTGAATTCATAACCATTTCATGTAATAACTTTCTGTGAGGGGGCTTTTAGAGCTGGACGTCTGGTTCCTATCACCACCACTGTGAACAATTCTGACTGTAAGTTTCTCTGGAACAGAGCGTTTCACACCAAACCGCTCTGAATGACTCTGTTTACCTCTTAACCGCTTAATTATGCAGAAATTTTTAAAAATTGGTGTAATTCTCCTTTAAGGTGCATATGCCATCTGTGTATGCCATATGATTGCTTTATATTCTGGAACGTGATTGCACGCTCCTGTGTTTTGCACCTTTAAGCTGCTGAGGTTCAAAGGTGTGACGTTACTGAAATGCGACCACAAGGCCCGACACAGTGCATCACTCAGAACTGTGACCTTGATCAGTAGCATCATTCTGCAGTCTGCTTTTCACCCACATGTAATAGTATATATTGTGAATATCTAGCAGCTCCAAGTAGAGGTCTGTACAGGACTGGTGTTCTAGTCCTGCTTCCGCCCGCGCAGTTCTGTCAAGGTGAACTGATATCCAGTATCTGACACAGTCTATTCACAAACAGATTATTCTCTGCTGAGTAACACGGCAGTTGTGGTCTTCAGGCTCACTGTGAGTAACTTCACCAAACGGCATTCATTTCCAGTAAACACAGAGCAAGAATTAAACCACAGAGCAGTTATTTTTGGTGTTTTGCTCGGCAGCTGTGGCCGTTGGACTGAAGGCTCTGTCGGCTATGTAAGCTACAAGAATTTGTGGATCGTTGATGTGATCGGGTGCTTCACAACTCTTTAGAATTACTTTATTCATTTCATCTGTTTTACCATTATCATTTTATATTGTTTATACATTATTTAGGGATAGTTCTACTTTATTATTTTGTGGGATTTCTCTTCATGCGTGCTCCCCCCCCCCGTCTGCAGTGGGCTGGTTTCCCGCCCGCTCCCGCGCACAATGCTGAAAATTAGCCCCACGCCGCAAGATATTGTGGCGGGTCCTGCAGGAATCTACAGGAGTGCAGACCTCTAGCTGTACACAAGTTTGTGCACCAAAAGAACAGATTCAGCTTCAGAACTTGCCAGTGATGTCAGGTGTGCTAGAATAGGCAATAAACAGGCCTTCAGGCTTCATACACTCTGCAGGCCAGACCGAAATTTGTAGCATCTGACCTTTTAGACCGACCGTTCAGGTTTCAAGTTACAAGGGACCAAATCTAATTTGTAAGGCCGGACTGACTGCAGCCGCATTTGCTTGCATATCCACATATGCTGACCAGGTAGGGGCGAAACTTGACAAACCTAACAGTGATCACTTTAACGGTTCACTCGGGTGAGAATAACAGAAACTGTTTCCTCCCTCTCGTCTCTTTCCCCCTCAGATGGAGCAGATCAAACGGGCGAACAAGCTTTTCAGCAATGACTGCATTTTCCTGCGGCACAGCCTGAGCATCCCGGTGCGGACGGAGAGGCCGTCCCTGTTTAACGGACTTTCTCTGGAGTCTCCGGACAGCGAGAGCACGACCCCTCTGGGGTTCCCCTGCGTCAGCCAGGCGGTGGAGGACGTTCCCCAGGACCCCCAAGACCACCCTTCGCCACCAGACCCAAACACGCGACCCCCCCAGCCTGAGGAGCTCTCCGCTAAAGACTACTTGCACATGCTGGACTTGCAGATCAAGCGGTCCAAGCAGGCCGCCAGGAAACTCAAAGAGGAGGACAGCAGGTATGTGAGGTGACACCACCCTCGTTTCCATGGTTACACTACTCTGATTTACACCTCTGACATGCAAACTTGAAAACAAAAATAAATGAATACAGTTAATAAACAGTGCAATTAAAAAACAGTGCTGTACAGTACTCTGAATTACAGTACTGTAAATAGGCAACAGTGCAAAATTAGACTCAGTGCCAAACAATAAGTAGAGTACAGTAACTATGCAGGACAAAACTGTGAGACAAAATGTCTATGAGTGTCTTAAGAGTGTAAAAAGTACAGACCTGAGTTTATTTATGTTAAAGTTTAATATGTTGTTTGTTTTGTACTATTCTGCAGTGCAGCCTCATCAGTTTGATATAATCCATAAAATATTCTCTCACTACAATACCCTGCATGCACTGCACAGATACACCGATCAGCCTCACTGTCCACTTTAACAGCTCCACTGACCATATAGGAGCACTTTGTAGTTCTACAGTTACAGACTGTAGTCCATCTCTTTCTCTGCATACTTGGTTACCCTGTTCTTCAGTGGTCAGGACCCCCACAGAGCAGGTACTATTTGGGTGGTGGGTCATTCTCAGCACTGCAGTGACACTTATGTGGTGGTGGTGTGTAAGTATGTGTTGTGCTGGTGCGAGTGGATCAGACACAGCAGTGCTGCTGGAGTTTTTAAACACCTCAGTGTCGCTGCTGGACTGAGAACCAAAAACATCCAGCCAACAGCGTCCTGTGACCACTGATGAAGGACTAGAGGATGACCAACACAAACTGTGCAGCAGCAGATGAGCTATCGTCTCTGACTTTACATCTACAAGGTGGACCAACAAGGTAGGAGTGTCTAATAGAGTGGACAGTGAGTGGACACAGTGTTTAAAACTCCAGCAGCACTGCTGTGTCTGATCCACTCAGACCACCGCAACACACACTAACACACCACCACCACATCAGTGTCACTGCAGTGCTGAGAATGACCCACTACACAAATAATACCTGCTCTGTGGGGGTCCTTTGGGGGTCCTGACCATTGTAGAACAGGGTAACAAAGTATGCAGAGAAACAGATGAGCTGTAGGCTAAAAATACAACCAAGCTAGCATTAGTGTACCTCGGTCGTCGGACAATATCGTGAAGAAAACAGCGATTATATCTTTATTCAGGCCTAAGTGGACACCAGAGATGAGAGTCTTATCCTTTCAGCCAGAGAAATGAGACCAAACTGAGGTAAGATAGACAGGTTGCTACCTTGCTAACGTTATCTTTTAGCCTGTCTTGCTCATTTGGTGAGTGATTTCTGTGATATATTCTTTCCACTACTGTGGTGTTTTAAAGACAGTTACTGCAGTTCTGTAACTGGTATAACATGGTTGGCTTCCTGTTAGTATCGCTGGCTATTCCACCTTCAAGATACATCACCTGTAGTGGATTTTTCCTAGCTTTTCCTCTGGAGACTGCAGCACTACTGAAGGACACAGACAGACATGTTTACAACAGTTGCAGCTATGATTACATTCTTCATTTTTTGGCTGCAGAACTCTAACCATAATGACAGCATAGCATTGTGAAAGTGGTTACAGACCATTACAGACAGCAGCATAATAACAGATTACAGCAGTCGTCTGATGACCAGTCCTAGAGTGGTAGCTGTGGACACTCCAGAAAAAGAGACTGCGATGTAATAAGTTAGATGAGAGTTGGAGCTTGTGTGATATTGTAGGGAGCTCTAATGATACTATAAATCCTTCCCTTCTTTCGCAGATCATGCTAAAAGAAGACGTAACTGTATTCAGTCATCTTGCTATTATCACTGCTAAGTGTTTAAGTCAGTTTTTTGATACGTGTCCTGTAAAACTGCAGTGCCGTTAGCCAATCAGCAGCATGGAGAAATACTGGCCCAGTGCTCTGAGCCGTTGGCCAGTCGAGTGGCTGTTGTTAGACCAAATTAACACATTGCTTTAAAACGGTTGGCCACGTTTCCTCCCACTGAAAGCTTTAGCCACATGGCTAATGTAACATCATCATTTATCTCTGGGTTTATGTACCTGATACCGATTTTATGCAGCTGTTTTGTCATATGTTGTCGCTCGTTTGGCTTGTAATTCAGGTTAGCAGGCTGATAAATCTCCACAAGGGGGAGCTGTTGGCACTGTGCATCATTACAACGGAGGAACCAACAGTTACGGAAACAGTTGTAGTTGTGATATGAGGAACATTAGGGTAATCAGCTCAGCTTTGGAAGAACACGGGTGTAAAAGCAGCGGGGTGGGGGGTGGGGGGCAGTGGAAGAGCGGAAATTTAATATCAGTGGCACAGTGTGAGTAAGGTGAGGTAGCAGAGTCCTGTATGAGACTGGACCCTCTGTGTTAGAGTGATGGTCAACGACACTGATCTCCCAGTTGGTAAAACTTTTCCATGTCACTGACAATAACAATATCAGTGACTTATGATTAGCACTAGTGGTGATAGATGCTCACAAGGAATGAGTTTTGGCTTGATACTGTAAACTACTGCAGGGAACAGTGTTCCTAGTTTTTGGCATCTGCCTGATTCACCCCAGGACTGTCAGTAACTGACTCCGCCTTTTCCACCTCATTGACGCACATTCTTTTTTTCCCAGGCATGTGAATGGCTCAGTTTTCCACAGACACTGAATGCTTGTGTTAGTATTTAGCCCTTTGTGAGGATCTAGTGTCCTTGTACTGACAGGAAAGCATGAAAAATCAGGGCATTTGTCTGGTCGTCACAAGCTGTTTTCACCCCCAATGCATATTGTTTTAGGAAAAGCTAAAAGGCCGAAAGATTGCGAGTTGATAGTGTTATGATGACATCGCAGTCATGCTGCCACTATTTTAGTAGTTCATTCAGCAGCGCCGTGGCTGTTTGTAATGAGATAACAAATCCATAACCGATCCAGCAAAGGCAGTAAAACACGTTTTTTAAACCTTTATAAATCTCATTTTTAAAGCGTATAAACCACTGTATTTGATTTGATTTGTTGCTTTAGTGATAACAAATGAAAACTGAAATCTAAATGGCTGAGATTTACCGCTGCATTATTATTTTCGTGGTCAAAACTGTGTACTAGCTCACTAAATAGTGTGCAAAAATAGAGCATACACCATTTAAAGTACACTCATTAGTGTAGTAAGTGAAGTACAGAAGTGTGTGCTTTGGGACACGGCATTAGATCAGCTCCAAAGGCTGATTATATCTTTGCTGTGGTGCTCATTAGCTGCTAAGTAAACATCTCCAAGCGAAAGTTTGAGGAATATGTTGATTGAGGAGCATTTATTAAGGTAAATTAATGCACTTATTGACGTGAATTGATGCGTTTATTGAGGCGAGCTGATGTTTGATTCATTTTCGCCAACTTTCGAAATTCGTTCTATGTTTAAGGCACCTAATGTGACTGCAGCTCCATTTAAGGTGGCACAGAAAATTCAAATAAGTAGCTGACTTAAGCTTGATATATATGTAAAACTTTATTATTGAACAGCTTTGGCAGTTTTGGTGGCCACTTTTACTAGTTTTTAAAAAATGTCACACACTGGACTGTTCTGAACTCTGGAGATGTGCAGGTTATACGGATCCATCAATCTAGCTAATCCTCTCCTCAGAGTGTTTTCTGGAGACATATCTAAAGTGTCCACATATCTTTTCATGTTTTTGTGGTCATTCTGGTCTGTTTTGTTGGTGTTTATTCACCTGCAGGGCTGTATCTGCAGTAACGGTGATGAGACGAGCTCTATCAGAGTGCAGTCAGTTACAGCTGACCTACCAACATGGAGACGCGGCTTTATTATGTAATTGAATACTGGGAATTGGTTACTGTAAAAAAAGATTGCTTTGCTTTGGCTGCAGTAAAAATTAGTCAATGCGAGTCTGTCACAGTATCACAAAGACAGAAGGAAACAGTGGGGTGTGTGTGTGTGTGTGTGTGTGTGTGTGTGTTTATTTTTTCCCAAAGAGAAAACCTGTAGCTCCCTGATATGGGTAATGAGGGCGTGACTGCGAGTACAGAACTCTGTTAACTCTACAAGCTGCACTAGAGCTCTGGGAATCAGTCTGTTAGCAGAGATGAGTGTTAGCAGTTAGCTAACGGAGGGGGTCTGACTCAGGAGGTCAGGCTGACCGATGGCAATCAGACTGAGAGGTGCAACATCATTACAGACCTGATATAAACTGATTGATTGATTATTGATTATACACAAAGGAGAGGCTACAGCAGCTACACTGGCTCTGACTGACCCTCAGTGTATGGAGGAGACCATGATGATGATGATGATGATGATGAGAGATTGCATCATTAAATCAGACGTTTGATTAACTGTAATGGGCAGTCTGATCAAATCTGAAATAAAGCCCCTTCGAGGCGCTGCCTCAGGTGGAGTCCATATTCTCTCTTTTTCTCGCTTTTTCTCTCTCTCATCCCTCTCTCTCTCCTCTGTCTCTTTCATTCATCTTGACTTCTGTCTCCCTTTGTCTCTGTTACTTTTTTCTTTCTCTTTACTTATTCTTCACTCTGACTCTTTTCTGTTATTTTTGTTTCATTTCGTTTCTTCTACCTCTCTCTCGCTTAAACACTTTCCCACTCTCTCTCTCCCACTCATTCTTTGCACTCTTTCTCTCTTGCTTTTTCCTCCCATCCCTTTTTTGCTTCCCTTATTCCTCTCTCTTTTACTCCTCTCTCTTTTACTTCTCTCTCTTTTACCTCTCTCTCTCTCCTCTCTCTCTCGCTCTCTGCAGTATTGGCAGAGTCTGATCTGTGATCAGTATTAATTGTGATGGTGTGTGATAGACTCTGCGTTCTGCACAGACTGTGGGTGTGTGGGTGTGTGGGTGTGTGTGTGTGAGAGAGAGAGTGTGAGAGAGAGTGTGAGAGAGATGCAGATGGATGTCCTGGCTGTGAGGGGCTGTTGGTCTGCCTTTTTAGGTAGAATGTAGGAAGAATGTAGATACTTTAAAATAAAGACAATAAAATCTGTTTCATGTTTTACTGTATAAACATTCACTCCTGGCCGCTTTATCAGAAACCCCTCTCTCGTAGCTCCACCCTGCTGCTGTACATTTACTGACTGTACCTCATCCTCTAGCCCTTCATCAGTGGTCTGTTTCTGACCAAAGAGCTGCTCTGGTCTGGATGTTTTTGTGCCAGCCTAGCAGTGCACTGACGTGAGCACTGCTGTGTCTGATCCACTCTCACCAGCACCACACACACTGCCACGTCAGCATCACTGCTGTGAATGAACCACCACCCAAATAATATCTGGATAACAGTGGGACTGGGGTCAGAAACTGAGTGAAGTGGCCAGTTAGTGGATGCACAAGGTGGGTGTTTCTAATAAAGTGGCCAGGTAGTGGGAATTACAAGGTACATGTTTCCGATAAAGTGGCCAATTAGTGGGAGCACAAGGTAGGTGTTTCTAATAAAGTGGCCAGTTAGTGGAAGCACAAGGTTGGTGTTTCTAATAAAGTGGCTCCCTCTGTGCATTAAGTGTCACTGGGGTCAAACTTGTTTCCACTATTAAAATAGTGTTAATGTATTTCTGATTTCTGTTTTGATCCCATTTAAAGACTGTATGAACTAGATAAGCTACTAAATATGAGTGACCCACTCTGATTATTAAGTGTGACAGAAGCCCCGTTTATAGTTACTGTTTCTGCTGTTTATATTTCTTTATCCACTCTGTATGATCTTCAAATGTTCGTCATTTTCCTCAGCAGCTCATTACAGCCATCTGAACAAACGAGTACAAATACACACACACACACACACACACACACACACACACACACACACACAGTCAGTGTAATGGATATGTAGGTCAGAGAGAGAGAGGGTGAGAGAGTGAGGTGTTGAATTAGTAATGACCACTGGAGAGAAATATCATTACTGTTCTATAACAGACCACATAGACTCACCTCATCTCTTTTCTCTTCTCTTTTTTGTCTTTCTTTCTATCTCTCTTCTGTCTTTGCCCTTCTTTCTGCCTTTCTTTTTGTCTCTGTCTTTCTGTCCGTCTGTCTTTCTTTCTTTCTGCCAATCTTTTTGTCTCTGTCTTTCTTTGTCTTTTTTGTCTCTCCTTCCTTCTTTCTTTCCCTCTTCCTTCTTCTTTTGGTTCTTTCTTTCTTTCTTTCTTTCTCTTTGCTTTTTGTTTTTTTCCCTCTTTCTCGTTTCTTTTTTTTCTTTGTTTTATTCTCTCAATTTTATTCCTTTATTAGTTTTTTCCTCTTTTATAATGAATGGAGATGATTTAATGTAGAGTGGACAGTAGTGAGGCTCTCTGTCCTCTAAAAGGCACCGTCTGTGTGTTTTCATGCTCTACAGATGCTGCGTTTCTCTGCAGGAGCTCCAGTCTGATCAGTGCTGTATAGATTTCTGTGTTGTGGAAACGAAATAACTGGATCAGTGAATGATGTAACAACACTGATCATTATTATTACTGTAATCAGCCTGTTAGCGGCAGCACCGCCTCAGGCTGCATAACTCTGTCTCACTGCGAGTGTCTGGACGCTCTGATTCAGAGGATAAACTCAATACGCTGCCTTCACTGACTCACTGCTTCTCTGTTCCAGTCCTGAGGGGGGTGGACATAGTTCTGGTCAGCAGTGATGTAATGGAAGTGGCCGTTGGCTATTTCATGTGTTTAATGACTTACTGTCCAGTGACCAGTAACACCGGCTGGGTGTGATCAAAGACCATAGACCAACAGTGCTTTACTTACTGTCAGCTCCACTGACCATGTACTTTCACTTTGTAGTTCTACAGTTACAGACTGTAGTTCATCTGTTTCTCTGCATACTTTGTTACCCTGTTCTTCAGTGTTCAGGACCCCCACAGAGTGGGTATTATTGGGGTGGTGGGTCATTCTCAGCACTGCAGTGACACTTATGTGGTGGTGGCATGGATCAGACTCTTGCTGTGTCTGATCCACGCTGGCTCCTGAGGACTTTTCTGTCTGGCTGGCTGAGTCTGTGCTGGTCAGCTCTAGTTTGCAGATTTTTGGGTAAGTCTGAGTCGACAGTGGGAGAGAGAATCGAGTCGTGTTTGAGGGGCACAGACTCGGATTTTGGGCCTCCCAAACGATCGCGTTTCAGACCAGTCGGAGTATATCAGACGTCTGATTTTTCTACCCACCTGTAAGCGTAATCTAGTGTAAACTGTTCAGCAACTCAATCTGAACACAACAGCCACTGAAAACTGAGAGAGAAAGAAGAAAATAGAGCAAGTAAACAAAAAAATGGTGAAAAGTCTCTCACGTGTGGAGCGAAACTTTTTAATGAGCTGAGTTTAAGGCACAATCGAGTTTATGTACATTTAAAACATTTATGTACATTCATTTTTAAATCCATGAGCTTCACTTATTTACCTGCTGCTTTTTTACTGTTTCAGCGCAAACAGCAGAGAAAACAACAGCAGCAGCTCCACGTTTGTTTATTTGTGTCTCCTACTAACAGGAGAACGCGAGAGTTCAGTGAGTTCCGTTCGGTTCAGCTGCAAAGTAGTGTGTGATCCCAAAATGTTTAGTGTGATGCCCAATATTTCAGTCGCCCAAAAAAATCTGCAAAAACCACAGTGATAGTTTGAGATGCCCAGCCTTTAATAATCTGTTACGACTTTAAGTCGTGTAGTGAACCCTGAAGCTTTATAAATGGATTTGGTGAATAACGTAAATTCTGATCATGTTTCAGTCTAATTTGTGTTTCTTTGTTTGTTTGTTTGCTTGTTTACAGGGAAGATGACGACCCGACACATCCAACATCATCTTATCAGGAGATATAACACAAATCTGATCACCTGTTTACGTCCAGCTAAGACAATGACCTCCACCTTTTGTCCACTTCTCCAACCTGCCCTTCATCAAACTCTTTCTTGTCTTTTTTTTTAAACATTTGCTTGCTTTTACCAGTTCATTAAAAACAGGACTTGACACCTTCACTGCCTTTCAGAAATGTATTATTATTATTATTATTATTATTATTATTGCTGTTTTCTACATTCAGTACATTCAGCTTGCTCTCTCTATGGCATTAAGGAACGCATTAAAGTGAAAGTTGCCCAAAATTACCAGCATGGCTAAGAAGCTAACGCTAGCAGATGTCAGAAGCAGGCTGTTAGCTTCCATTCAGAATTAGCCGTGTTAGCATTTTTGGCTAAACTGTTTCTTCAGGGCACCATCCATCCATCCATTCATTCATTCATCCAGAATGCTTTTAAAAGCTGCTGTACAGATTCGAGCTTATCTTTCCGTCACCAGCGCTACGCTGGATCTCTGAAAGAGAAATACAACTCAGCTAATGCTAAAAACATCACACACTGATGATCAGAACACTCTGAGAAATCTCTGTATAAATATCTGACGTGTCTAAAAGTCTGTGTTCAATCAACGCGACAGTATGGAGTGCGCGTGGCTGCCTGTGAATTTTAATTTTTTTTACTTTTTTTTGGACTTTGAGGGAGAAATGCATTCATTTTGCAGTGAGAATGTGAAGCTTTTCGTGTGTGAAGTATGGTTTTGAAAAACCTGTAGTGTGTGTTTCAGATTTGAAGATGAAATCCTAATAAATGTATCTAAGTCAGTATTAATTCATGTGTTGTGTTTTGTCTGCTGTTATTATTGTTAGGATTGTGTGTTGAATGGGTTTGTTTTGTTGGCTGAGTTTTTCAGTGCTTATGTGAAGAAATGGTTGATCAGTGTGACACACACCACACTCGCTTTTCTCACATGGAGAAATGCGTCTTCACGCCTTGGTGTCACCATGGAAACCACAAGATGCCACAGTTGATCAAATCCTCTGAGACGTCCCCTTTTCAAAGCTGCAAAACCGAAGAATTGCTTCTGATTGTGCAAAAATAGTGATATGCAGGTGATTAAAGTGTTGAAAAGCATAACTTTTTTTCAACTGTAGCTTTTGAGTTGATTAGTGCATCTGTAAACCTGGACATACAGTAACATGCAGTCAAATGTTTGGATACACCTGCTTATGAATGATTTTTTTTTTTTAAGGCATTGTAAAACAAGGAATGAATATAGTGAACGCATCAGAGCCATGAAATAACACATAAGTGCTTAGTAGAGTCAGAAATACTGGCTCAAATAGATAAACTGTGATGCATTTAAATGTGGTACAATGATGTCATGTTTCTGCTTCAGTGTTTTCCAACAAAATTTCAATACAGTTCTAGATAAAAAAATACTTTTGTTTTATGTATAGTCATATTCTTTGCTACAGATATTGTTTTTAGACATGGATTTCAAGCATTTACACTGTAGTCTTTAGATCAGAACGTCTTTAACATGATGAAAAATATACATTCAATCAGGAACTTTCCACTGCAAGTTCTAGAAGAGTTTTGGATGAATGCTACATTAATGAGATTCCTGATATTCTCCTGTATAAATAGCTCTGAACATTTAAGGTAGGTTTTCCTGAAGTTTTAGACTTATTTAGACTTATTTACTGTCTTTAGTGAAGACAGTAGTTCTATATAGAACCATGGACACTCAAAGAACCATTTGCTTGCTTAAAGTTCTTTGCATGTTGAGCATTACGAGTGTTCCCATTCATATTTCAATCAGTGACCATCTCCTCCTTTAAAACATCTCTGGTGGAAATAACTGCAGAGTGGCGGTCGGTCGATTGGACAGACTTTCCTATAATGACTTTGTTTAGGTAGTCAGTTAGCGCCATGCTAACCTGGCTAAGTTTCCATTACTAGTTAGCTACATTAGCCTCATAGCTCCAGTACTAAAACTAAAGAACCAAACAGGTCTTGACTGAAGGACTACATTTGAGGTGGAGGGGAAGATCCTCTAGGTTTCCATTACTGGTAAAAACACAACGAACCATTTATGCTGTTTTGTCAGATTTCATCAGTGTTTTCAAATGTGTTTGAAAGGTTAATATGGCTTTTGGATTTAGTTTTGTAGGTCTCCCCCTTCAAAGAGAGAAGAGCCTGATCTTGCATGAGTGGAAAATCCTTATAGGAAAGTTTGTTCACTCTGCGGCCATCTTAGCAACGCCACCAGGCAGTTATTTCCACTCATGCAAGACCAGACTTCTCTCTCTTTGAACGAGTAGAAACCAAAACACTCAAAACTTACAGCCAAATTACCGTTTTAAACAAATATTTGAAATCACTGACAAAATCTCATAAATAGTTTGTAGCGTTTGGGTCAATATTGCACAAAAAACATTTTTGGGCTTTCTGGCTACTGCGCTTGCGCAGATCACAATAATGAGGGGGGCTTTTCTCACTCATGGCTTAACCAGCAAGCTGAGTTCTTTTCATTGAAGCCAGAGACTTTTCCCGTAAACAGACACCATGTTGAGCATTACGAACTTTCCCATTCATATTTCAACCAGTGACCGTCTCCTCCTTTCTAATGTCACTGAACAGACTTTCCTATAATGACTTTGTTTTAGGCAGTCAGTTAGCACCATGCTAACCTGGCTAAGTTTCCATTACTGGTTAACTATGTTAGCCTCATAGCTCCAGTGCTAAAACTAAAGAACTGGCTGAAGGACTACATTTGAGGTGGAGAGCAAAATCTGTGTAAATTAGATTTTTCTCCAAACTGTCATTAGCTAACCTTCTGTATGTTGTGAGTGTAACTTCTGCTTTCAGAAACACACAGCTACACCAACCACACAGTTAAAGAAAGGCAATATTTAATCGCATTTTGGAAAAGTCGCAATATTTACATTTAAAAATACTTGATTGTGTTTGACTACAGCTGAGCACAGGTTACATACTCTGCAAGCCAAGGGAGAGAACCCAGAAGTGAGAGAAAGACAGAGACAGCGCCCCCTTCGGGCCAGAAAGGAAATGACAAAAACAGCTCACTGACAGGACACGTAAGAAAATCGAGTTTTTGGTTGCCTGAAAAGCCCATAACACAAGTTTTCTAGCTTTTACTGAAATCAAATCAAGATAAAATGCAAGGACAGAGTACATACAGTGATTATGCTGCCATACACAGACATGTAATGTGGATGCAAAACAGGAAAATAATGCAAAAATCTGCAATGCGTCCTCTAAAGTCATTCTGCAGCTTACAGTCTGGTCTAATTCACTGGGTTTCGAACCTGTAGATATTGTAACACTTCTTCTTGTGACCGAGGACTCAAAGATATGAATATTTTACATTTTAGATTATTGTATCTTACGCGTATCTTCTAATAGCAGGCCTAATCATCTATTGCTAATTGATATTCTTTTATATCAGACAGTGTGTATTGCCTTTCGCATCATATCTTCAGTAATACCTTCGGTTATTGCAGCCTTTAGTCCGTTTGGGGTTCTATATCTTACTGCGGGAGTTTATCGTTAATAAATTACTGCGTTTATCAGTACATACTCAGACTCAAGTACTATCGTAAATGGATTATTATCATAGCACTGTTAGCCTACAGGCTTCCGTAGATCCTCTTGATGACCTCTCCTTCGTCCTTCTCCAGAATTCCCTTACTGATGTAGGCGTCCACCTGCTGGTCCATGAAGTCTCTCAGCTTGGACAGGTCATAGTCTGCGAAAAAGAGAGAGAGAAACAGAGGGAGACATTAATATAAATTAGCATACATTCCCTTTGGACACACCAGTTTATCTTTTTAAAGGGGCTACATCATGGAAAATCTAATCTTCCTGATTTCTCCCTGAAGTTTGACTTAGTATGTAAACATTTTTGAAGTTCATATATGCAAACAGAGCTGTCAAAACAGCCCCTCATTGTTTGTGCTGCCACAAAAAACATCTAATTTACATGTATGCTCCTGTTCAGCCTATAGCAGTTTAGCTGGGCCAATCTGCTCAATTTTTGCTCAATAACGTTTTTAAATTTTGAGAAAAAAAGTCATTCTACTGAGGTAAGAAGTCAAACTTTTGATATGACAATTTTTTGAGAAAATAAGTCATTCTTTTGAGATATGTCAAACTCAATTGTAACTCAATTGTTTTGAGAAAAACGTCCTTAGTTTTAGATAAGAAGTCAAACTTTTGATATAACTCAATTTTTTTAAGAACATACATCATTATTTTGAGGTAAGAAGTCAAACTTTTCATATAAGAATTCATTTTTTTGCAAAAAAAGTCCTTGTTTTTAGATATGAAGTCAAACCTTTCATATAAGAATTCATTTTTTTGTAAAAAAAAAGTCCTTGTTTTTAGATAAGTCAAAATTTATATAATTACTCAATGTTTTGAGAAAATGTCATTATTTTGAGATAGGAAGTCAAACTTTTGATATACCAAATTTTTGAGAAAATAAGTTATTCTTTTGAGATTTCAAACTTTTGATTTACTCAAATTTTTAAGAAAATACGTAATTTTTTGACAAAATGTCATTATTTTGAGATAAGAAGCCAAACTTTTGAAATAACTAATTTTTGAGAAAATTAGTCATTATTTTGAGAGAAGTCAAACTTTTGATACAACTACATTTTTGAGAAAATATGTCCTTTAATTTTAGATATGAAGTCAAACCTTTTAAATAATAACTCATTTTTTAGAGAAAATAAGTAATTATTTTGAGATATGAAGTCAAACCTTTGATATAGGAACTACATTTTTTTAAAAATAAGTCACTATTTTGACATAAGAAATCAAGCTTCTGATATAACTCAAATTTTTTGCAAAAATGTTATTTTGAAATACTAAGTCAAATTTTTGATAACTCATTTTTTGTAAAAATAAGTCATCAATTTGAGATATGAAGTCAAACTTTTGATATAATAACTCAGATTTTTAAGAAAATAAGCCACTATTTTAAGATAAGAAGTCAAACCTTCAACCTAATTAGCCAAAAGTTTGAGAAAATAAAACATTCTTCCTTAATTAAACAATGACAGTCAGAGTAGACTGTAGATTGACTCATTAACTGACAACAAAAGAAACCCTTTGTGTTGGGGCTGTTTTAGTGGTCAAAAAACAAGAAATTCAAGGGAAATCCGCAGCTGTTAACCTGACTGGTAAATGCCTCCAGCTAACCTCATATGACCTTGATACATACAGTTGTTTTTTTGAGGTTAAAGGCCCTGAAACCGCAAACCAAGACAACAGGAAACAGGTACAGACTCATACTGAGAGCAGGTCAGCCAAACTCACTAAGAAAAAACAATGATGTTGAATGTTGTCTGTACTTTAGTCCATGTTAATAGATAACAGTGTGTATTAGAGATACTGAAGAACTCCACAGTCTGTGGAGAGTGTATGATGATTTAGGCATGTAGCTTCCATTACTTGTTAGCCTTTGGTGCTGAAATTAAAGAAGCTAACTTCAAACAACAAACATGCCTTGGCTGATCAATTGCATTTGGGCCAAGGCGGGGGGCATTATTCACTGAACTATCGCTTTAAAACAGAAAACTGTTTACTAACAAATAATTAGGTCACTGAATAACAAAGTATCCATGACAACAGCTTAAAATCTGCAGTTTAATGTGTGGCCTGCTGAATGTCACTGTGTGTGTGTGTGTGTGTCTCCACAGTGTGACTCCGGAGGTCCTAAAAGGTCGTGCCTGCGAAGAGGCTCCACTTTGGCACATATTTTCAGCTCATAGAGCCAAAGCGCTCTCTCTCTCTCTCTC